TGTGTGTCCAAACTGTTTTAGGCCCTGAGGCTACAACAGCCAACAAATCAGACCACATCCCTGGCCTTGTGGAGCTGATGTTCCGACCACAAATGAGTGAACAATCAAAAGATGATTTCTGGAACTTCCCTGGTGGTCCAGTGGTTAGGACTCTGCGGTTTCACTTCTGAGGTTGCGGGTTCCATCCTTGCTTGGGGAACTAAGATCCCACAAACTGTGCAGTGTGACCAAAAAAAAAAAAAAAAAGATGATTCCTGGATGTGATAAACGCAGCCACTTTGTCACACTGACCAAATCACCTCAGTCGGACTCCACACATTAGACCTGCTGAAAGGCACCTGGGAGGGATCTTGCCGAGTCATTTTTAAAGTTTACAATAGTGAGACTTTTTGATGCTTTCGAACTGTAGTGCCAAAGAAGACTCTTGAGAGTCCCTTGGACAGCCAGGAGATCAAACCAGTCAATCCTAAAGGACATAAACCCTGAATATTCATTGAAAGGACTGATGCTGACGTTCCAATACTTTGGCCACCTGATGTGAAGAGCCAACTCATTGGAAAAGACCTTGATGCTGGGCAAGATTGTGGGCAAGAGAAGGAACGACAGAGGATGAGATAGTTGGATGGCATCATCGACTCAATGGACATGAGTTTGAACATACTCCAGGAGACAGTGAAGGACAGGGAGGCCTGGCGAGCGGCAGACCATAGAGCTGCAAAGAGTCGGACATGACCGAGCAACTGAATAATAACAACATTAGTGAGAGGCAGAACCTCTATTTAAAGGGCATCTTCTTTGTTGAGGGACTGTGTAGGGTGTTCCTCAGGACAATGAAAGCCTTACCCAGCCATACCCAGAGCGTTGGCTGCAGTGGAAACAACCACCCACAAAAAATACAGAGCTGGATGGGATGCAAGCTGTGTTTCTCACCTGGAGCAGGATGTGGCCAGGGGTTAAATGAGAAGGAGTCTGTGGTGTGGTTGTCATAGTGGAGAGTAATTAGGTCCAGCGCTCTCCTCTGTATTTGCAATTATGCTTGCATGTGTGCATGTGCACACACACCTAAACACACACCTTGCCTCTTCTGAAGGGATGGCATAGGTAGATTTGTCTCCTGTCTTTCAGCCACAGCTGATGGGTCCATGGTAAGAAATCTGACTGAGGCTGGACCAGTGGCCTGCCTTCACTGGGCATTTGGGGTGGATAGCTGAGAGACTGGATCAGTGGGGAGACAGGCAGTAAAGAAGCAGGGCCTAGGTGTGGCCGAGTGATGTGGTTGGCAGGCACCTGGAGGGAAGGGCCATAGATTGCCCCTTGAGGTTTGCAAGCTTTCCTGAGACTTTCCTCTAGCCTCCCTGCAATGCCCTTTCATTGTTTTTTAGCTGCGAAGTCGTGCCAGACTCTTTGGGACCCCATGGACTGTAGCCCACCAGACTTCTCTGTCCATGGCATTTCCCAGGCAAGAATACTGGAGTGGGTTGCCATTTCCTCCTCCAGGGGATCTTCCTGACCCAAGGATCAAACTCATGTCTCCTGCATTGGTGGCCAGATTCTTTACCACTGAACCACAGGGAAGCCCCTTGGGTAACCTTGAATAGTGGAAAGATTGGAATGAGTTTCTACTCCCCACAACTCAGTCACAATCACAGAATCAAAAGAAAATGCTGGGTAAATAAAACCATACAAATTTCTTGACTGCAGGATTTTTCAGAGCTTTTAATATGTCCATATATACTGTGACTTTCTCCAGGGGATCTTCCTGACCCAGGGATCAAACCTGGGTCTCCTGCATTGCAGGCAGACTCTTTATTAGCTGAGCCACCAGGGAAGCCCATGCAGTGACTTTCCAAGGTGGGGCCAAGGTCTGTGATGTTTCCAGATCTCATGAGATATGCCTCACCTGACTCATACTCTGCAGAGCAACCCTTTGGGGAGTGCTAATCCACATGCATGGACTTGTACTTGCCATACAGGTGAAGGAATTAAATCACAGAGAGGAAGCATCAGCTTCCCAAGGTCACACAGCTGGTTAATTGCAGAAAAGGTCCTGGCACCTAAGACCTCCCAGTGTTCCTCCCACCACACCCCAGTTGACATAAGGCTTCCTTGGACAGATGATGTTATGTGTGGGATTCCTGGTCCAAGGTGGGTGGTGGAAGGCAGGTCCAGTATAGACACGAGGGAAAGGGTGGGGTTGAGAACTGAAGGTCAGGCCTTGGGCGGGTGGTAGCCATGGCTTCCGTGGAGTCTGAGAGCCCTACTGATGGCTTGGGGCAGAGCCCGGCTGGACGGCCGCGCCTTGACAGAGCAGCCAGTGGGCCGGCTCCAGCTGCCTCAGCCTCGCGAGCCTTCTCTGACCACAGGCGGACTGAGCAAGGGAGGAACGCGGGGCCAGTCCTCGGCCGGCCCGCCCAGGCAGCCAGCGCCGGGATGACGCGGCTGTAAATCACCCCGTGGACCACAGACCCAGTGCCATCCCCACGGGTTTCCTTTCCGCTTCTTAATCCTCCTCTTCAGACTCAGTAACAAAAAGCAGATTCCTGCTGGGGCCAGCACGCACCATGGGCTCGGAGAATGTGAGCCCGAGCTCACCACATCAAGATGCTCCCTCCTCTCACTTTTCCTTTTACCCGTGTCTTAGCCTCTGTTAGCCGGAGGACACTCCCTCCTCCTGGCGGGGCTCCCTCGCCCTCCCTGGACCCCACTTCCAGCCTTGCCCCAGCCTCTACCTTGGCCGCCTGCCCATTGGCCGCCCAGGCCTGAGGCTCACCGGGGCCTGTGGTTAGCAGCCCCTCCAGCCTCATGGTTTGGCTCCAGCCCGGCTCCCCAAGCCTCCCTTTCAGCAGGAGTTGCCTTCGTGTGTTAGGATAAACAGCTCCGATCAGGGTTCAAATGCTGGTGCTGCCAACTCGTAGGTAGCACTTACCTCTGAGATGGGGGGTGTGAGAAGGTTCCCTGGCACGTCGGAGGTGCCTGACAGCTGTTCTGTTCCAAAAATAAGTGCTTAGCTGTTTGTTCAGGGTTGTTGCAAGAAGCCAGAGAGAGGTATTTGGCACCGCTTTGCTAGGGGTTTGCGTGCCCAGTTAAGGGATGGTTGTTCTCCTGAGTGTTCTTAGGTGGACTTGGAGCCCCTCAAGAGCCTCCCCACCAGCTCTGATCTCCCTCCAAAGCTACAGCCCTGGCAGGCCCCATGACCTCTCCCCATCTCCTATCCCTTCCTATAGCAAATCCGACCCTTTGGTCAGTTTTCTCATGAGCAACACCAAGTTCAGTGGCCAGAGTGAAGTTTCTGAAGGTCAGGACTACAAGGGACTGAAAGGTGGTCTAACCTAAGGGCTTTCCCATTTGCCCCAAAGCACCTGAGTTCTCAGAGACTTCAAGGCTTCATGTTGGAAGGAATACTGTAGACTCTGGGTCCCCTTCTCTCTGTGTCCCGCATCCTCTCCTGATTCAAATAGACCAGAACCATGCTTATCTGTTTTCTGCATTAGAATTTCAAGGTCAGACTTCATTACTATTTTATTTCCACTAGATGCAGACACTGTCATTTTATAGATAAGAATGCAGGCCTAGCTGGCGGGGGGATGGGCTGCACCTAGAGTCTGCCTATTGGCTGCTGGTGTAGTATATTGTCTGAAGGATGTGGGGAGAAGGAGATGTGGATGCCATTCCTGGGGGCAGGGGCAGGGCTGACTCTAACATTCCTTGGAGGTGTGACCTGGGGATCGTAGGTCACACCTGGGTATCAAGACCAGGGGTCCCTGAGCTGCTTCTACCTGCTACACCCCCTCCGATCCCCCAAACCAACTAAATCAGCATGTGTGCTAAGTCGATTCAGTCTTGTCCTACACTCTGTGACCCCATGGACTGTAGCCTTCCAGGCTCCTCTGTCCATGGGATTCTCCAGGCAAGAATACTGGAGTGGGTTGCCATGCCCTCCTCCAGGGGATCTTCCCAACCCAGTGATCAAACCTACGTCTCCTGTGTCTCCTGCATTGGCAGGCGGGTTCTTTACCACTAGCACCACCTGGGAAGCCCAACTCAGTCAGCAGTGGCTCTGAAGTGCAGTGGGGGTGGGGTGGGGAGTAAGGGGACACTGTGGGCTCTGGGGGGCAGCCAGTCCTGGGTCCAAATGGTGGCTCCATCCCTTACTGAACCTTTCAAGATGCAGTCCCTGCCTGAGCCTTATGGGTCCTTCCGGGGGCAGCTATGAGGGTAAGTAAGAGCAGGTGCTACGGGTGCCGGCACCTGGTACAGGCTGGCCTTCTGGAGTTAGGACCAGTGTGTGTGTGTCGGGGGCGGGGGGTGCTTCTGACCATTGGTTGTTTCTTTTCTTTTTTAAAAAATTTATTTAACTGTGCCAGGTCTCAGTTGCAGCACGTGGGACCTTTAGTTGTGGCATGTGGGATCCAGTTCCCTGATCAGGGATGGAACCTGGGCCCCTTGCACTGGGAGCAAGGAGTCTCAGCCACTGGACCACCAGGATGTCCCCGTTGGTTGTTTCTTTTTGTTTGTTGAGGGATAGTTGATTTACAATATTATATTATTTTCAGTTGTATAATATAGTGAATCAAAATTTTTATAGATTATATTCCATTTAAAGTTATTACAAAATATTGGCTATATTTCCTGTACCATACAATATATCCTTTTAGCTTAGCTATTTTATTTTTTGTCTGTTTCTTAGCTTTATTATTTTATTTGTATTGGAGTGTGTTTGATGTGGGGGCTTCCCTGGTGGCTCAGTTGGTAAAGAATCTGCCTGCAGTGCAGGAGACTGCCTCTTGTTTTAGCTTCAGGTGTGCGACAAAGTGATTACTTTTACATATACCTATTCTTTTTCAGATTCATTTTCCATATAGGTTATTATGGAGTATTGAGTAGAGTTCCCTGTGCTATACAGTAGGTCCTTGTTGATTATCTATTTTATATATGGTAGCGTATATGTTAATCCTATCCTCCTGATTTATCCTTTTCCTCCCATTGGCTGTTTCTTTCAGGAGTGACCAACCACGGGCCCGCCTGAGGATGCTGCTGTGGGCCCTCTTTCCAAGTCAAGCTTGAGGAGAAGGGGAGCTTGCCAAGTCCAGCCTCGTCTTCCTCTCTAAGATGCCACCGGATGCTCAGACCACCACCTCTCAGGACAAGAGCTAGCCTGCCTCCCTCTCACCCACTCCCCACACCCCCACCCCCAGCCACTCTGCGGTGACTTTGCACTTTGCTCTCTGCCTGATGGGGTGGGGAGAGCAAAGCCTTCACCTTGCCCGGGCCTGAGGCCCACCGTCCGTCTGGCTGCAGAAATTCATTGCCAAAGATTCAACAGGGACACTGAATAAACTGGGGGTGAGAGGACCCCACAGTGAAAAGCCACACTGTGGCTCTGTGACCTTTGCTCCTCGTGTTGCCCGGGTCCCATCTCAGGCCAAAGACGAATCAACATTTCCACTAGGAACTCATGGAAGAGATGGATGTGTGGTGACTTCAGACCTGACCCGGAACTGTCTTTCTCCACTGGGCCCTGAGCTGGCTGGACACAAGTTAAACCTTCTAGGGGCTGTTAGCGGGAGGCTGGAGACGTCTGTGGGGAGTGGGATCTGAGATCCCAGCCCCTCTCTCCTTCCCACTGGCTGCCCAGGCCTCTGACCTTGATTTTCCATGTTCCCTGGGCCCAGGCTCCTTCTTGGGCCCTCAGCATCATGAGAAGTGAGTGTGTAGGGAGAGCAGCGCCCGCACACCCCACCCCAGGGACTTGCCTCGAGGTGACCTGCCCCCAGCTGGCCTGGCCAGCCACTCCTTGCCAGGGGCCCACCCTCCTGATGGGACACACAAGATGGTGCCCTGCCTGGAGGCCAATGGTCTGTGACGGTCGTTCCAGGGGGCGGAGGGGAGGAAGGGACCAGGGGAATGGGCCAGTAATGTGGGGAGGAAGGCATGTTCATAGCCAAGGCCTGTTCTTTCCTTGTGCTCACAAGGCCAAAGCTGTTCACATCTGTGCTCAACCATCTGCTTCAAATTGAAGTAAAAGCCCCAATGTGTAAAGAAAACACTTGCTTGTGTTGATGGACTCTGTGGGTGACCAGGACTTTGGCCGGTCAGTCAGGGGGAGGAGAGAGGTTAAGAGTCCTTCAGAAATGAGCAGTGTGTGAATGAGTATGTGTGTGTGTGTGTGTGTGTGTGTGTGACGGGGTGGGGTGGGGCCCTCGCCATGGGCTTGGCCTGGACTGGTGACCAGGAGGCCAGGTCAGGAACATGTGAGGAGCTTTCTCTGTTTGTGCCTCATTTACTCCATACCGTGAGTTTATAAGGTGGGCACTGAATTTTTTATCCCGTTGTACAGATGAGGAACCTGAGTACAGAAGGAGACAGGGCAGGTCAGCGACAAAGCCAGGTCTCACACAAGGGTGGCCTCACTTCAAAGCCTGTGCTCTTAACACTTTTTCAGCCCCATAAGCCAGTTCCGGCCCAAGGTCTTGGCATGGCTTTTTCCCATCCCTGTGCTGCAGTGGGCCTTGGATGGGACAGTAACAGCCCAGCAGGGGTGGTTGGGTTGTGGTTTAGTCACTCAGACATGTCCAATTCTTGTGACCCCATGGGCTCTAGCTCACCAGGCTCCTCTCTCCATGGGATTTCCCAGGCAAGAATACTGGAGTGAGTTGCCATTTCCTTCTCTCAGGGAACTTCCTGATCCAGGGATTGAACCCTGGTCTCCTGTCCTGCAGGCGGTCTCCTGCATTGCAGGTGGATTGGATTCTTTACCAACTGAGTCACCAGGGAAGCCCTCATGGGGATGGGGGAGGGGTAATTAGAAAAGAACTCCAAAAGGAATGTCAGGGTGGAGGGCTGTAGGAGGGGCAGAGGTCTTGAAGTATGAATAGGAGTTTTCTGAGCAGAGGAATGGAAGAAGAACTTTCTATGCAGAGAAGTCTTCAGCCCTCAAAAGATGTTAGAATCACCTAAGGAGGTTATTAAATATTGACATAAAGTGTTAATGCCAAAGTTCCATCTTCAGAAATTCTGCTATATTGGTCTGGGCACTTGGGACTTTTAAAAGCTCCCCAAGTGATTCCAATGTGCAGGCAAGGTGGAGAGTTACTGGATTAAGTGGGGTTAGATCACTGACAAAAAAAGTGATTTAGAATCACTGATGTGGAATACAGGCTGTGCCAAAAATGTGGACGTATGTGTGTGTGTGTGTGTGTGTGTGTGTGTACAAATAGACAAGCAAATAATTGTGATACCATCAGATGACTGTATGAATGTATACACATATATGAGTGACAAGAAGTTCCACGTTTTTTATTTCTTTTCTTTTCTAGCTTTTCCCCCAATACAGCAGCTTTGATTCTTTTTCATGCGCGCGCGCGCACACACACACACACACACACACACACACACACACACACACTCCTTCTTGAACGCACATGCATGCCCAGATATCCACTGTGTACATCCCCAGGGAAGAAAAATCCATTTCCGATGGATTCACATTGCATTGGCAGCCTTCTCAACAGTTTGTGTAAATAACAGTGCAAGAAGACCTTCACCAAAATAAAAGTGATAAACAGCCACCTTCCTGGAGCCTTGAGAGCACTTGTCCTGTTTCAGCTGAGAGTGTGGTCACAGGGCCCGCGCAGATTCATTTACACACATACCCTCCATGCTCCGTTGTTTGCTCTGGGTCCTGGCCCCACACTCCAGGGGTGGCTCAGTCATGGAGGGCGTGTACCCATGTGGGAGGCCATGTGTGTACACACCGTGTCCACGTGTGTACCTCTGGTTCATGCTTGGTTCCTGCAGCGTGCGTGCTTCTTTCTCTCCAAAGGGCAAAACCACAAAGAAGAGCTCTGGAAGTCAGAGATCCCCCCAAGCTCAAGGCTGAGTGTCATCGGGCTCTTCAAAAACACACACACACAGGCTGCATGCTCCTTCTTGGTTCCAACCTCAGATGGTCCCAGAAGAGAGGTGTAAATTCTGGGGAAGGGCTTCCACAAGTCCTCAGGCCACTTTCTGGGGTCATAGCATGGCCAGGGCCCCTGTGGATTCCATCTCCCCACACAGTCCTTCCTCCCATCCCCATGGCCCACCGTGCGGTCCTGGACTTCCCCAAATCCCCACCACTTCATCATGTCCCATTTCTTTTCCTGATTAATCCACCCACCCATCTCCCCTTCCTCACAAGTCAGTGAGATACAAGAGCTGGTAGGTCCCAGGCGCAGGGAACTGGGCAGCAGAGCTATGAGCAGGGACTGCGTAGGGAGCAAAGGTGCAGACAGGGCTCCTTTGTGCCCAAGATATTGGGCAGAGAGCTGGGTACCACTAACTGGGCTGAGCTGGGGCTGTACTGGGGCTCCCCTGGTGGCTCAGACAGTAAAGAATCTGCCTCCAATGCGAGAGACCTGGATTCGATCCCTGGGTCAGGAAGATCCCCTGGAGAACGTAATGACAACCCATTCTGGTATTTTTGCCTGAAGAATCCCATGGACAGAGGAGCCTGGCAGGGTACACTCCATGGGGTCACAAAGAGTGACTTTGTGTCCACTCAGTCAGACACAACTGAGTGGCTAACATTCAACAACACAAGGGCTGTACTGGGGGGGCGGTCAGTTGGGGGTCCACTAGGGAGCTAGAGTAGGGGTTACACTTGCCTCCCACCTTCCACTTGGCTTCCTGAGCTACAAAGTGGCTATTGCCAGCAGCCCCAATGACAAATAACCTAGCCCTCTCAAAGCAAGACTCTGACATCTCCAAGTGTCTCTTTCAGCAGATTCATGGAGCAACTCTCCTTCTGACTCTCTGCCACCTGCACGGAGGCTTGCTGTCTTCAGACTCCAGGAGGACAGGGAGGATGGAGGGGGCCTACCTGAGTGAGGTGGGGAGGGAAGGGAGCTGCTGGCTTCACCCTTTGCCCCAAGGATCCTCCCTTCTCACAGTCTCCCCTGGTCTCCTGGACCCCAGACAAGCTGTGTCTGCCTCCTTGAAGCCAGGGACCCCAGGGAACCTGGCTTAAAAAATAACGACTTTGTTTTGCAACTATTTGGGCACATGTCTAATCTCCAGATGGCACTGTGAGTTCCTAGAGGGCAGAGATTAGGTCAATCACATCTCCAAATCCTTGAAAAGGCTTTGTACAATGTATATATCCGTTTCTTTGTTGAATAAATGGATAAAATATGAAAACTATGATAATTCACGCATTTATTTTCTTCCTTCCACAAATAACTACCAAGTAGCTAATTTGTTAAGACCCTGAGAGAACAGGGCGCAGGCCTTTACCAAGGACTCAAAGAAGCTCAAGAAGCTTCCCCAGTGGCTCAGATGGTAAAGAATCTGCTGCAGTGCAGGAGACCCCGGTTCAACCCCTAGGTTGGCCCTGAAGAAGGAAATGGCAACACATTCTACTATTCTTGCCTGGGAAATTCCATGCACAGAGAAGCCTGGTGGGCTACAGTCCATGGAGTAGCAAAGAGCAGGACTCCATTGAGCCACTAACACTTTCACTTTTAAAGAGGCTCAAAGGGAGAAGCTCCAGAGCAGAGGGGAGCCCAGGCTTGAGGCATTTTACTCTTTCTGTGGCTGAGCCTTTGTGCACTCCTGCGAAGAGGAGAGCTTCATAGCACGTGTGCCTGGCCTGCAGGAGGTGCTGAATAAAAGTTTATCAAGGTGTGTGGATGGATGAATGAATGAATGCAGCCCCACCCTCACACCCCTCCTCAGGTATCACTAACCAACTGTGGCACTTTGTCTTGGCGGGGGGGTGGGGGGCCTCTGAAGCTGCCTGAGCTCAAGACAGTGCTCCAGGCAGTCACTATTAATCAACTGAAGAGATGTGCTTTCTTGGTCATCCCAGTCTTAGGGCCATTCTGGAGTAAACTATGGGTGGGAACCCCTCAGGCCAGCCTCCTGGGGCACCATTGGGATGACATGATGGAGGATATGTCAGGAGGTTGCCTTGCTTATGTCCACAGGGCTATGTGGCCACTCCATGACTGGCCTCCTCTCTATGATCTGTTCCTTGCTGACCCTTCCTCCACTACTGCTAACTGGAGGTGTGTTGCTAAAGTTCCTCCCCTGGGCCCGTCACCTCTAGGCAAAGTCCAGTCTCCTTAGCTGCCCATAGGACTTGTCACAGACGGTCCCATCCCCTCCTCCAGTGACTCCAGTGTCTCCCTAGACTCAGTGACACCTAGTTTGGTCATCTAGGGATGTAGCTGAATCCAGTCCCCAGGTTTTAACAGCCCCTCTTTTTAGCCATGTCTCAGTACCTTTTCTTCTGGCTATCCCCAAAACACGATTCTTTCTGGACTCTGCTCTTTACTGCTGTGGAAACTGTTCCTTTTTATTTGTTTGTTTTGGCCGTACCTTGCAGCATGCAGGACCTTAGTTCCCCAACCACGGATTGAACTCATGCTTCCTGAAGTGGAAATGCAGAGTTTTGACCACTGAACAGCCGGGGAAGTCCCAGAGACAGTTCCTTTTTAATCTAACTTTCTTCTGTATCTAATCCATCAAGATCCCTGATTCCCCAAAGGGAAATTTAATTCTCTCAACTCCAGAACCTGGGCAGACAGAGAGGACCTGCTTAACCCAACAGCAAGGGCCTGGGTTCAGGTCCCCCCATCCGAAGGCTCATCTTTCCTGTTCATATGTAAATCAGAGCATTGCTTTGCTCCATCTATCTTGGGAAGCCCATTATTGCTCCAGATCTCTGAGGATTCTCTAAGGGCTTATATCCCCATGGTTATCTCTTGAGAGTTGAGAGTTATCTTTGTTGGTTGCCCAGTTGGGTCCGACCCTTTGTGACCAGTGGATTGTAGCCTGCCAGGCTCCTCTGTCTGTGGAATTCTCCAGGCAAGAATACTGGAGTGGGTAGCCATGTCCTTCTCCAGGGGATCTTCCCAGGGATTGAACCCAGGTCTCCTGTGTTGCAGGCAGATTCTTCACTGGCTGAGCCATGAGGGAAACCCATGGTTCTGTCTCTCCGATCTAATTATCTCTCTCTCAATCACTTCCTATGGCTGATCCCTTCTCTCTACTCTGCTTCAGTTCAGGGGAACACAGCCATTTTCCCTTGATCTCCCCAAAACATCACTCACACAAGGCAGCTGTGTATAGAGGAATTATTAATATTTTTCTCTCTCCTGATGATGTTTTAAAAAAATGTTTACACTCCCAGAAAACCAAACAAGACCTTGCTACTTCTCCCCAATTTCTTTAGCTGATTGCATGTATTTTTGACAGGTTCATCATGTTTCCAGCAGTTATAAATATTTTCCCCTCTGGCTTCTCTCTCTGACACCACATTTCTGCTTTGTGACTCACTGAAGTTGTCTCACAGCTGGGGCTTGAATCCAGTCTTTTTTCTTCAGTTTAACATCTCCCTACCCGACCCCAGGTCACCACCAAATCCCAGCCTGAAAACAGGAGACTATAAAATACGATGCCCAGTGGAAAGGTCATAAGCAAATATGACAGCTGGCTGGGCCTCTCACCCACACTCAGCTGAGCAGGCATCCAGGTCTTGCCTCTGGGAGAAGAGATGCAGGGCCTAGACCAGCCACATTCCTCTCCATAGGCTCTCCTATAACCAAAGCTTGTCCAGAGGCAGCTGACTGGCAATACCGTGGAGAGGAGGGGACAGGACAGAGCCTGCCCCTGCCCCAAGAGGCAAGTGGAGCCCTGAATTTAGCCGGGTACAAAGGCTATACCCCAAACCACCTTCAAAGACATCTGGTCCACAGACACCATGCGTTCCTCTGCTGGGATTTCATTTCCACAACCAGAAGATTCTAGAATTTTCCTCTTGCATGCACACATATGCATGCAACTCACACCCTATTTTTTTTTTTTAATTTTAAATAAAGAACTCAAAATCCTTCCAAGTCCCAGGAAATAAATCACCATTTTTGGAGAAGAAAATAAAAGAAAAAAGCAAGCATTTGGTACACATTGGGATAGCTATGTTGACCTCTATTTTCTAAATAAAAATCAGGGTAAGGGGTTTAACAAAAATTTTAGTGCCTCTTGGTGTGAGAGGCAGCCAAGGAAGTCAAATGCTGTAAATTGGGATCAGCCCCAAGATGAACAGGACTAGGATTTTTAAAAACAAAGAGTTCAGTGTCCTCTCCACTGGGAACTGTAGCTAGTATTTCCCCATCATAAAGGCTCTGAAAAGTCCTGCGAAGTCCCATTTAAAAAAAAAATTTTTTTTTTGTGGCTCTGCTGGGTCTTTGGTGCTGTGTAGGCTTTTGCAGTGAGTAGGGGCTACTCTTTAGTTATGCATGGGCTTCTCATTGTGGTGGCTTCTCTTGTTGGGAGCACGGGTTCTAGGGCGTGCAGGCTTCAGTAGTTTTGGTATGTGGGCTCAGTAGTTGTAGCTCCCAGGCTCAGTAGTTGTGGCCCATGGGCTTAGTTGCTCTGTGGCATGTGGGATCTTCCTGGACCAGGGATCAAACACGTGTCTCTGTTGGCAGGTGGATTCTTTACCACTGAGCCACCAGGGAGTCCTAAATTTATTTTTGTTGAATGAAATATTCTTTAAATTCTATAGCACATTACAATTCTCAGAAGTTTTACATACATGATTTCATATAATCCCATAAGAACCCTTTTTAAAAATAATTTAATTAAATTTTTATTTAAAAATAAATAAAAATTTAAATTTAAGAGGCTTTTAATTTAAAAATTTAATCCCCAACCCCTATATTGCCCTTCCTTTATTTCTTTTTTTTTTTTGGCCCCTGCATTTAAATTTGAGAATTCAATGTCTCCCAAACTTGTTTGAGCACTCACTACATTAAAAAAAAATTTATTGCCATAAAATGTGTATAACATAATATTTATCATTTAAATCATTTGAAGTGCCCTAAATAAGATATGATGTTTTGAAACCATAACAACTAACTATATTGCAGATTTTTCATCATCCCTAAGAAAAACTCTGCACCCATTAAATAATAACTTCCCTCTTCCCCACCTCCTCCAATCCCCACCCCTTGTAACCTCTATCCTACTTTCTATCTTTGTAAATTTGCCTATTCCAGGTACCTCATTTAAGCAGAATACAATACTTGTCCTTTTCGGTTGGGCTTATTTCAATAAACATAATTTTTCAAAATCTGTCCATATTGGGACTTCCTAGTAGTCCAGTGGCTGAGACTCTGCGCTCACAATGCAGGGGACCAGGGTTTGATCCCTGATTAAGGAATTAGATCCCGCATGCCACAATGAAGATCAAAGATCCTACATGCTACAACTAAGATCTGGTGCAGTCAAATAAATAAAAATAAATATTAAAAAATAGATCTATCCATGTTGAGATGTTCCTATTTATGGCTGTATAAAGTTCCACTGTACATGTATGCTACATTTCAGTTCTCCATTCATCTGCTGATAGAGTGCATTTATTCTTTATTTCATGCCCCTCTCACAGGACAAGCTTTCCCCCGCTCTGGCCCCGGTGGCTCAGTGGTAAAGAATCTGCCTGCAATGCAGGAGACACAGGAGATGCAGGTTCAATCCCTGGATTGGGAAGATCCCCTGGAAGAGGAAATGGCAACCCATTCCAGTATTCTTGCCTGGGAAATCCCATGGACAGAGGAGCCTGGCAGGCTATTGTCCACGGGTTCACAAAACACTGGACACGACTGAGCACTCACACATGCATCTCACTGGATACCACTGGCAAGGCAAGGTCCATGGAACACAATTTGGGGACTGCTGGTATCAGGGCCACTAGAACGTTCGGCTTTTGGATAAGCTAGGATTTGCTTGTGCATGTGCTTGCCCCAGGCACTGCCAGAGGGTCTCTGACCAGCTGAGTCTCCAAACTGAAGGCAGAGGCTACAGCTTTGAGAGGACTTAGGAGAGGGGGCTCAGCCGTCAGCACTCAGGGGAGTGCACACTGGAGAGCCTTGCTCTCCAGCCCTCACAGGACCGTGGAGGGGGTGCTGTGGGGACCTGCTGGGATGACTGACAGCTCTGTGCTGGTGACATCTGTCAGGGCGGCCT